CAGTGTTGAACTGATTGTCATTTTTGCTAGGATTTTCACCAAAGTTCTGCAAATAGTCTTTATATTGGGCAGCTGAAATGATATGTATCAGGTACGCAGCCTTGATGATGCTACGTGTTTCACACACCCACGACATCGTGGGTCACTTGGCTCTCACCTTTGCCAAGACTTTCTTTTAGCCACACATGCTGATTGATTGAAGAAACTAGATAAGTTTTTGGCAGACTGTTTTTGACAGAGCAACCTGAACTGAGATCAACTGTGGGGTTTGCTTTCACGCAGACTCTCCCAATCCACCAATTTGTTGGATGCGAACAGTGTTTGCAGCCTCCTGGAAGAGGAGTTGCAAAAGACATCAATGCGCACGTGGGTGAATGGGGAGATCAATGTGTCCTGCCTTCGGAACTACCGTGACTGGAAAGGTCATTTCGAGAGGTACTCACCTATAAGCAGCATAGTGCTTGGGCCTTGCTCTCTTAAAGGTGTTTTGGATTTTTTTGTTCCACTAAAGGGTTCAGCACCAACGTGCACTGACTAAAGTTCAAAACACAGTTCAAACCGTTTGAGGAAGGCGGATTGCTTGAGGACAAGACGGCCAACCACTTCTTTTTCTTCCTGAAGAGAAGAGGAGACAGTTCCACAATATTTTGTTAATACATGTTAATAAGTACAAAAGTAAAAATAAAAACAACGACGATAACAAAAAGCAACTTCACCAAAAACCCTGTGAGACCTGCCGACCCACCTCCAGCAAAACGAGGGGACTATGTGCCGACGGGAGAAGCGTGACAACGATACGTTCATTATGGTAAAGGAGTACATCTCATCATCAGAGCTCAGGCAGCCCCCACTGCTAGTGCTCCGTGAAGAGGATAAAGCCACATTTGCCTTGACAACTGATAGAAACATGGATTATTTAGCTACTTCACTTTGTTCTTATGTCATTTTTGTTTTTTTTCATTTTTTACAACCAATATCCTACAACAACCAATATCAGATTCAAGTTTCCAAAGGAAAAGGACTCGTACAGTCGTCTTTAATGTTGCAAGTTTTCTTCACCATGTTCAGAGTTCAAAAGCAAGGAGTGATGCCCCACAGACCCGTGCCAGACAAAATCAAAGAAGGATGGCTTGCACTGGCAGGGATTTTTGAACACCTCCTGGGAGGCAACCAATCAACAAGGCAGGCAGCCACCTACTTACGAGGACTGGCTACAGACAGTCTTCCGCTGAACCCGATCCACCCTTTGCCATGGATGAGTGAGGAGCCTGAGGCCGAAATTATAATTGCAAGTCCTGAGCCCCACCCAGTGGTGCTAGGGGTTCTTTGCCCATCTGCCCAGTTGCGGGTGGTGTGGCGCCGAAACTTCCGTAGATGAGGGCACATTTCAAGTTGTTGCTATTGTTCAAGCTCCCAAGCATCCAGATCAAAATGATCAGGATTTCTGGTGAGACATGCTCCAGTTTCCAGCCGATCGGAACATGCTCAAAGTTGATCTTTGCAACAAGTTGGAAGGTTTACTATTTGCACACAGGTTTGCCACCAGGTTGGTGTTGCCAGTTGCTTGCCCTTGAGCAGTCTGTCTGAGGCGAGTAGCTTATGAAGGTTGGTGCACAACAAGCAGTTGTGTTCCATGTGGACGTGTGGTATTTTCACACACCAAATGATCATATGGACATAAGGTGCACCTTGTTTCACTGTGTGTGTGTTTTTGAACGTGCAAACTGCAGTTGGCGACAATCCACAAACACAGTACATAGTTGCTAAGCAAATGCACACTGGCAGAAGCAAACAATACCATGATTAACATTCATACCCCGTGCAGAAGTTCTTGACAAGGCTGTCTTTGCCAATCCAACCCTGCACTTGCAAAGTACACATACAAACATGTGGGCCTTGATAAACTCAGATTCCATCCAGTGCAAAATAGAACACACATCCTAAAAAAGTCAAGTAACAAGAAGGTGGAGGAATCAGTCAGAGTGGACAGTTCTGACTTGAGTTTAGCACACATTGGGCATTTATACTTTGTTGATTGTGTATGCACTTTGTTGGTCCCACATACTCTAGCAATCAGCCAATTGCTGACAACTGTTTGTCATGACAAATCTTGACAACAAACAAGCAAGTTGAAAAGCAAACAACAAGCAGCTACCAGGGAAACAAGCACACAAACAAACCTGTCGAGGAAAGCAGTGATTGAGCACGGTGTCAACCAGGCAGAACGTGTTTGTAGAAGCTACCTGAGCAGCTGACACCCCAGCTTCCAAATGTTGCTAAGTTTCAGATGCTCGAACGCCGCTTGATCAGTCAAACAGTTGGTGTTTGGTTTATAAACCAAGGCAAGACCCTAATAATATATATATATCCCACATACATATATGCAAACAACACCAGCTTTGCGTCACCACAACCTGGGAGCGTCAACAGTGACATGACAAACCAACTCCTAATGAGTCAGCTAGTTGCAAAATCAACCTTGAAGGTAACCCAATGCTATGAAGAGTGGTGATCGGATCTAGCGTCTAGTCTCTTGAGCAACTGGGCACAGCACATGACTGCATCACACACACAAAAGCCTTTTCCACAAACAACCTCTTACTAAAACTTTTGGTTATATTTGGACGCCAGCTTGCTATCACAAATCTCTAGTCTTGTCAAGAAACATTAGCAACACCAGACCGTGTTGAAGAGGCTAACCTGAAAGCAGCAATGATGTTGTGTTCAATCATGAACTTTGTTCAATCCTGTTATAGAGACCTCATCAACCCCCCCCATTCACACACACACACAACAATGCTGGCTGCAGGAAAGTCATCCTCCAACTTCTTGGCTGGAGCAGCTACTAGCAAGAACTGACTCTTGGAAAAAGTGAACATTCTGCAGATGAGTACGTCAAAATGATGACACCCACGACGACTTTGATGACCCCCTAACGTCAAAAGTTTGTTTGTCGTCTGGGGGCCGAACAACGAAAAGTTGTCATACAGAAAATGCTCGGACGACGATTCCCAGGTTTTCAGAAAACCTCAAAGTCTTTGTCCAACCTAAATCCGTATGACAACTTTTTGTCGTCAGGCACCCAGGCAACGACGACTTTGATGGCCCCTTAACGTCAACAGTTTCCTTGTGGGTGCCATCAAATTGTTGAGTCCGGACGTTGTTGAGCCCCCAGGGGGGGGCTCATGAAAAGTCTTTGTGGTCCGGCAGCCGGACAACGATAAGTTTTGTTGAATGCCCACCCCAACCGCGACGATTTTTGTTGATCCTCCACCCCAACCACGACGACTTTTGTTGAGCAGTCCCTGCCCATGATGATTTTGGATGAGTCTCCCTCCCTCGCTTGAGCTTCAACTGCCACCACCTCCAACATAACTTTCCTGGATCAAGGGCTGAGTTTAGCTTTGTGTTTTCCAAGGAAGAAAGGACAGCAATGGGTTTCACGTGAATGAACAAAGGATGACAAACTGAAACAGGTTATGTTCAGCTAGTTATCCCTGTACTTTTTCCTTTCTGACCCCATGGAATCATCCTTGCTTCGTGCTGGAGTGGCTGCAGCAGCAGCTGCACTATCCCTGAAGCCTGGAGAAGAGCCAACACCCAAGAAGGAGGAGTTGAACACGGATATCCCATCAGTGAAAGTCAAGGCAGAGGCGGAAGAATCTCACTTTTGATATGGTTTTTACTTTTATGCATTTTTGTATGTTGTTATCTATTCTGATAGTTATTTAATATGGTAAAATATTTTGTTGGCAATGCTTCCACCTCAGGCCAAACTGGAGCAGGAGGCATCAGCAAAAAAAAAGGAAGACCGAGTGGCAAGCAGGATTAGCTAGTCTCCCTGGTGATGTCCAACTCACCAAGGACATAAGGGGCTCCCTTTCTGTTTGTTTGTGCACTGCCTGTCCAAGGTTAAGGGACTTTTACTTTTGGCACGGGTGTGCCATGAAAGGAAATCTTGAACTACCTTTCGATGTTTACTACATCAGACTCGGGAACCACTACACGAACGTGTCATCCTGTGGATCTTGTGCTCCAGCAGTTCAAGACCCCAGAAGTTGCAGCGGTCACCCACGAGAGACTGAAGAACTTTCTTCAAGAGGCATTACAAGTACAGGGCAAGAGGTTTGAGAATGCACCTATCCCAGCAACCAGTCGGATAATTGGTTCATCCTTCTGTTGTTGAACAATGTTGTGAACATGTGTTACATATATATATATATATGTGTGTGTTTGTGTGTTCTATATGTTTCTTTATAATCAACAGAATGAACTGAGGACATCGGCAGCTTGCAGGATGGAACTGCAACACATCTGAATTGTCGAGTTCCACTAGATGCAGTTCAGATCACAACCCCAAGTGATGGGCTCCCTTGCGTGGGAGACTTCCTGACAACTTGTGTCAGCTTCATATTTTCCGGCAGCCGCCTTCACAGAGAACCCATCGACTTTCACACTCTTCCAGAGTCTGCTGTGGAAGGGCCTGTACGCTTTGGAATAAAGAAAGGATTCACTAGGCTGATGCTCATTTAAACTTTGGCAAATGTTTGTTTTTGGGGTTCACGCAACATTGTTAAACTCTATTTGTCACATGGTTCAACATTTAGCAATTGGCAATCAGGATGTCAAGTAAGGACTTCAGCCCTGCTGGTTCTATTGATTTCCGCAGACATGGATCCAATTGCTGCCAAGGACTGAAGTCAACAGTTTAACAGCAATATACCTCTAAATCGAGATGGCAAGTTTATGGCAGTTCTTTCCCCTTAAAGGACCTGATCCTTCCTCTCATCCCAGTATTTGCTGAGATGTATGCATTGCCTGGTGCACTGAGCCTTGGTGTTGATGCTGAGACCATATCGTTCGAGGCGATCCAGCTCTCAACGCAGGGCAGCGAGCGACAGCGCAAAGACGTTCCTTGTGCACAGCCAGTCTACAACATTTTGAGTTCCAGTCTACTATTTTATCTTTGATGTTTTCTCATTGGTTGATCTTCTAAGATTATGAAAGTGTCGCAGCGGTTCGAGATCCTGATGCAGCAGCGTCGGCTCCAGCCCGATGCTGCCAGCATGACAGATGGAGATTTGTTGCAATCCATTGTGAGCAAGTTCAACAACTTCAAAGCCAACGCGGCTTTGAAAAAGTGGCAAGTGACGCCTGACCAACACTCCGCGATCCTTGGAATAGTATGCGGTATGACACAGGAGTCCAGACAGCTTGTACGAGCACACTTAGACCACAATAAGTGGGAGCAGAGTGGCTTTTTGGCTTCCAACATCAGCAGTTTTCAATTCTTCAGATGTTATTGAAATAGTTGATCAAAACACTATGATTGGAAACAAACCGTATATTCCTCAGGATACAACGAGTCTATCCTGCGGATGAAGCGGCATCAGCTGCACCAGTCACCAAAGGGTGTCACAGGCATTTGGCAAGATATCCTCACGGAAGCTGTTCTGGTTTCAGGTATGTTGTTTTTTTTGGGGTTCTTACTTTTGTTTATTGTTGGACATTATTTTGAAGTATTTACTCTTCAAGGTTGAACCTGGTTCCCAGGTGACACCAGACTCACAGCTCATCCACTTCCGAAGATACAACCACTGGTGGGCCCTCAACGCCAAGAAAGTCAAAGCCACTATGAGGTCACGGCTGAGGTGGTCAGAAGAAGTTTGGTCCCGAAGTATGGATCACGCATGTATCGCATCATGGGTTGTGCAGGAATGCAGAAAGGAACCAAATGCATCTCTGTGTGACTTCAGTGAAATTGTATATGTTCTGCTTTAGTGACACAAAATGTGTTGGAAAATCGTACTAATCTAAAAACTAGTCCCAGCCTTGGCCACCACATGATACAGGTAACCCAAGACATGGTTGATGCAATGATGAGTGGCTTCATGAACGGGTCCTTTGGAAATCACAGAATTTTTGCTATCTCCTGGTTTAAAAGCTTTGCAAATTTTACCTTATGCATCCTCTTGACTATTGACATCTATTGCCAACTTACCCAGGGACTATTGTCAAGACCTAGATGCTCTCGTGATGGGACGACCAAACAACATCACCGTCCAGATGGTGGGCATGTGGCAAGACCATATTGGCAAATCATTGATGAAAAAAGCGGCCGGTGAACATGGCAGTGCAGCTGATCAAGAGACAGCAGTCCAAGATGCAGAGGACCGGACTATTCGTAGTTGGTTAAGGGGTCACAGTATGCAAAGAAAATACTACACATGGACTTTGCCAGGAGAACTTGCATGCCGCGGAGTACCAGGTTACCTGTGCTAACTTGGCCCATGACTATCGTGAAGCTGTGGCATTCAACTTGAAGAAGAATAAGGTCACTCAGGGACAACGTTTATCAAATAGTTTCAATATATAATACATACGTTTCAATATGTTTCACTTTTCAACAAGCTGAGTGTGGGAGACTGAACCCTGTTAGGTGGATGGTACAAAACACATCACCAAAGTTCTTCACCTGAAGGGTCAAATCGAAACAGGATTGCGACTGGCAGAGCAGGTGATGGAGCGTCGGTGCTTGCTTGTGTGCACAGATCATGGCAAGACTCAAACCCTGACTACAATGGTGCGCCGGATCATGACCGAGGTCAACAACAAGTTTGGTGAGGCTGACATAACCAGAACTCACCACCTGGGCTATTGCGACTTGTCGAAGATGGGCCGTTTAACGGCATTGAATATCGACCAAGTCTCCAGGTGGGCAAAAGGAGTTCTGGACATGAATCCAGACTTCAGCAACTTTGAGGCATCATGATGTGTATCGTGTGTATGTTTTGCTGGTTCCCTGTTGCCTCAAATCGTTTGCCTCAAACCCAGCATTGTAAGGCATGTGTCTGATCGTGGCCCCAATCTTGGCTGGCGAAGGTGTTCTCAACGGATTGCGCGGCGAGTTCCGGCGGATAGAGGATAAGTTCATGTCGATGGGGATGGAACTCAAGTCGGTCATGGTAATGTTTGACCTCTCCAGCCAACATGGGAACAGGACACCATGCACTTGTCTCATTTTGTTGAGAGCGGGTTAAAGTGTTTGATCCAGTTGGTTATGTGCTGATAGCAAGCAACATACCCTGCAGATCCATGCCGCAGCTTCTTCCGGCTTGGATGGTGGTGCTTGAAACTACCCTTGGCTGCAGACAAGGGACCTTGTACAAGGCACCAAGGAACGCCGACAAAGAGCTCAAGGACTCCAACACATTCGTGCGGAACATGTTTTGGACCACTGGTGTCAACAAGCCTTCCGTCCCGCTGGCTCCGAGCCCACAGTCTGCATTCATACCACGTGATACCTACCTTTTTGCTGTGCTTACTGTGTTTGTAGTAGTCATTCCTTTCTTACCTGTTTCACTTTTGTCCATTCAAAGCTACAGCAAGGCGATTATGTGACACCAGAGAGTGGCACATTTTTTTCCCATGAGACGGGACGAAGTTTGACAGACGCATAGTTGAATTGAACAAAGTTTATTCAGATGTATGTTTTGGTGTGTTTGAAACAGATTGTGTCAAATATATATATATATATATATATATGTGATTGTTGTTTGTTCTTGGTCAACTACAAGGACAAAGAAGAAACAGCTCAGTGGGTTGCTGCCCCAGCCACACTGAAGGCGATTTTGGATGGATGCCTTTCCAGAGTTTCGACCCTGAAGGGTCAGGCCCTGATCGTGCATCACCAAAGCCTCTACGATGCCCAGTTCGAGCGTGTGGTCTTGGAGTTGCAAAGCGAGTTGTCGGACAATTGCCATGTGTGCTTGTACGCGGAAACGGAGAACCCAACAATCTTCCAGTACGCGGTGACTCAGGTGAAAGACAAATTGCTTGAGGTGGGAGTTGCACACAACTATTTAAAGCAAAATAGATGTTCACTCACAAAGAAAGTGTTTGTTTTCTTATATGTGGCACAGTTGACCCTGAGCAGGACTGGAAGGCATCAAGGGGGCTGATGGCAGCAATCACCCCAAAGTTCCTGGCAGAGGCAGACCTGTCGGATGTTCCACAGCCTCGTCGACCGACCCTTCGACTACGCTCAATGAATGACAATGGACACCTTCAGATTCCGGAGGCAGAGCGAAAACGATGGCTGGAAGACCCTGTGCGCAGTGATTTGGAAGCGTTGTGCATAATTTTACATGTTTTTCGTAGTAGAACAAATTTGACACAACAAAATCTTAGTGGTTCACCACCATCTAAGATTCAGACTGGCGCACCCGTCTCAAGAACTTCGACTCTGTCTTCGAGGTGGTTTCGAATCCCGAGACGGCTCCAGCCCCATGTCCCAACAACAATGCTGAGAACATGGACTTGGGGGAGACAAGGGATGAGAGCACAACAACAGTTGCTTCTTCTGGTGAAGCCCCTCCCTCAATGACACCCGATGAGTTCAAGCAGAAGTACCCAGAGGTGGGGGCCACGGTTTCCCTGAACCTGGGCGGGCACAATGTGATCTGCCACTACGTTGATGGCAAGGCCTTCCTGACCAGTCCCAGCAAGATCCTTTTGGCAGGATTGGACAGCGCAAACCCACGACCACTCTTCTTATACTCTGGCGGACAATGGATCAGCGATTCCTCGAAGGCTGGCAGTTAAAGGTTTGTCATATCTGGAATACAAATACGCAAGGGCCTTTGTTTTTTTGTTGGTGTTTGATACTAGTTTTATTAGTTAGATGATGTATTTTTCTAGTGACAAAACCCTTTTGTTCACAGCTTGCAGGCAAAGGACTTTCTGTCAAAGCCAGCAAACGAGAGCAAGGGGGTGGAATTTCGATTGGAAAGTGCTGATTCTATGGTCTTTTTGGATGTGATTGGCACGTTGTTTGTTCCTGCAAGACATTTTGATAACTGTTGTTTTGATTCAATTTATAGTTTTTATTGTTTTGACATGTTTTGACTTACAGTACTGTAATTTATGTGACCTATGATGTGCACAACCAGGTGGTCCTGGAAGAGCCTGTCCAGGGTGGCAGCCCACAAGACACATCCCCAATGATGCTCCACAAATTGCTGAAGCTGTTGGAACAACGTGGAGTGGTGCAGTTCACGGTCACAGGGCACCAATGTGATCGCCCACCAGAAGTAAAGCGTGGCGAAGCAGCAGACCGCTTCGAGGTCAAGCATGAATCCTTCTCCGTGTACAAACCGAACAATGTGAACTTGAAGCAGGTCAAAGCAGGAAGCCTTGCGGGCTTGATTGGGACAAAGGCCCTATCGAAATCCCGCTGGGTCAAGATGGTTTGGCGTACTTTGGTAAACTTTGGCTCAAGTTTTTGGATGGATATATAGTTGCTGCATTAATTGGTGCATTATTGTTTTTCTTATTCACCTTGCTCTGAGGCATGCGTCACTATGTCCGGGAAAAGGTCCTAGGCCCAGCGAAGCCTTTGTGGTTTGCGGCCCACAGCTGGACTCTTGAGCCAAACCTGGTTTACGAAGTTGTGTAGCTCCAAAGATTTCCAAAAGGGGAACTTTATGTCAGTAGTGGCGTCTTTCAAAGGCTTGAGAACCACTCAAATTTTGCTATGTTGCCAAGCCGGCAGAGCCCAAAGAAGGTGGGCATGCAATGTGATATCGAAAGATCTCTGAGATGAAAGAATTTGCTGTTCAAAGTGCTGTTTTGTGAAATCGCATTTCTGCATATTGTTGTGTATGTACGTTGCCCGTTTTATTATGAGTTTGGTGCTTGCCCCAAAGCTTCTTGCCCGAGTAGTACTTTCTTGTCATTTGTGTTTGTTTGCGGTATGCAGCAGCCGGCAGCCATGGACCTCACTATTGATGCTGACCTTACAGTGAGTGACCAAACCCTCATGCACAAGCATCTTCAAGGTGGCAGCATGGCTATTTCAACAGGTGCTTCTACAGGGCCAACTACCAACGATGTGAAGGCATCGTCCCAGTTGAAGGCATTCTCTGATGAGTTTGTTCAAGACGTGCCTTCTTTCCAGCTGAGTTCAAGTTTGCAGAAGTTCGCCATGCAAGCACATCCTGTTGAGACTCCTCCGGCCATATTCTCAGTCGACTTGTTTTCTTGAACGATTTGCACTTTGTTCAATCCTTGTTTGTGTACGTGTTTGTGTATTTGTTGTTTAATTACCAAACAAGGTCCATATTGCAAGACCCTTGGCAAAGAAGAGTCATCCTCCTGTTGCTCGACAATTGTTCCAGGAACCTGAAGTTGAAGCACAGCTTCCCTATCAGTTCTTTGATCGACATTCGCAGAGTGATATTGAATTTGACAGCCAAGTCCAGTCACCAAGTCAGTTGGTGCCTCCTCCCGGGCCTGAGATTGCTGCGCAGCCTAAAACCTGTTCCAAGAGCCCTACGGTCGAAGGCAAGTTCTTCATTGATCCAATGAAGTTCAGGGAAGCGCAGAAGAAGAAACATCAACAATGGGATGGAGTTTGTGGATTTGCAGATGGGTACATTAGCTCCCCAGATGACATTCCAGATACTTGAAAGTTATGTTATATTGATTTGTGTTTGAAAAAGCATGTAGTCATGTAGGCTGATGGTTCTGACACTTTTTCTCTGTGTGTCTCTGTGTGTGTGTGTTTGCTTCCAATTTCCTGTGAGTCAAAGGAGAGTGGGAAGCCTGCACTACAGCGATTGAAATCAACCAACAATTTGCTTGGTGAAACTCTACTGGGTGCTATAGCAATTTTTAGTGTTTCAAGTTTTAACCACCATGGCAAGTTCCAACGTGGAAACAACATAGCTGATGATCTGATAGTGGGGGTGAAGTGTAAGGAACCTTTGCTGGATGATACCCAACACGATATGAATGATGAGTCACAGTTGCAAGATCAACCAGATGCAAAAAGTGAAGAGGTGCAGCAAGAGGAGCAGACCACACCGGCACCACAGACCTTTGATGAGTCCCAATCTGGTCAGCCTCTTGCACATCCAAAGCGCCATCGTTCATTCTGCCCACCTTCTGGTGAGGAAAAGTTGGTTCAATGTTGGGTAATGTTCTTGAACAATGTGTTTCAACCATATTATCTTAGTTGGATCACCTGTGTTATTTTTTCATGTTTCTTACCTGGCCCGAAAGGAGACTCAATCGCCATCCAAGAAGCGCAAACATTTGCGTGTTCATCCCAACATGAGCCCCAAGACGAAGCAAAGCATCAAGGAACAGCAGTTGGAACGCGCGCGTGAGAATTCGAGGGCCTGGCATAGCAAGTATGTCAGCAAGGGAGTGCCATGGTTGAGATTGCAAATTGTTTATTTTCATGAATGTTTTTATAACACTCATTGTGATTTGCTGCATCATTCTATAGCCTCAAGGTACCCAGGGGCTCAGACGGATCAGGATCTTCCAAGGACAAGAAGGACAAGAAGGTTCCGAACGAGAAGAAGGAGACCGAGACGAACCATTCCGCGGCTCACAATGCTCGGTGGGACTTCGTTTCTGGGATTGATTGGATATTGGACAAACCCCACAAGAACCTCCGAAACAAATCCGGGACTCTTTTGTGTCATTCTGATTGTGTGTTTTTTTTTTCAAAGGTTTGGACACTATAGACAGTTGAGGTTCGCGAGTACTTGAAGACCCATCCAGGAGATCTCAAAGGAGCAAACTTGGCATGGCTCCAGAGTTCCGAGCGAGCTGCCTTGATGGCAGGCAAGAAAGGCATCCAGATCTAGATTTCGATTCGAAGGGAATCGAAAATTAGGGGTAAACACGCACGTCAGTGTTGAAGCCTAACTCAGTTGAACCAGAGCGGGGAAAAGTTGGCAGTGCTTTGCAATTTTTTGATGATGCACTTAACCTTTCAGATATGCTGCATTAAACAATGTAAATCCAATCATGGGCAATTTTTGGTGTTTCCCTGCAGCTGTGAACACATCCGTGGCTAGTTGACTGGTGTGCCAAGTGCAAAACATGGAAACCACATCGGACGTGGAGCTGACAAAGGTCAAAATCAAAGAGTTTTTGGGTACCTTTCCGGTGTTTCCAAGAAGTTGTTGCGTTTTCCCCAAATTGTTCCTTTACTCATCCACCCATATTGGTTTGATGGGACGTGTTGGACACGTCATCTGCTCAGGATGTGATTGGCCAGCGGGACTTCTTGTGCCTGAGAACTATGAATACAAGGTTGAAAACAAATATGAGCGCACTGGGTTCCAACCGTTGGATGAGGATCAACCGAACATTGTGGCCTTGTTGAAATGGTTAAAGGAAACCTATATTGACTACACGAGTGACTCCCGAGTGATCCACCAAGAGGAATTGATTTACCTCATCCGTGGGCACAATTTGCAGACTCAAGAGTGGTTGTGCGAATTTCAAGTGTTCAATATCCGTGATCAGCTGGACGAAGTTGTCACTTTTCAGCTGAAAGGGAAAACGGAAGCTTAGGTAGAAACACGTTACTTCGGAACACGTTCTCTTCGGCTCCGAAAAAAGACTGTGTGCGTATGGTGCATGTATGTGCTGATCTGCTCAGTTGGATGCCCCCAAAAAAACAGGGAACATGAAAACACACTAGATAGCATCTACAACAGAACCTCCAAAAACTGTTCTGGTGATCCCCACCCTGAGAGTGTATTGACGGAGTTACAGCGTTATGAAACTTCGAGTTTCCCCACCAGCCAGAGTACAAAACAAGGCCCTCTGACACAGCCACTTTTTTCCACACAACGACCAAGTATATCACATCACTGGCTGCTTGGGTCTTGGTAGCTGAGCATGTTGATCCTTCCATTGACAGCTGATCAATCTAAATTGACAGCTAGTTAGCACGAAATTAACTTAAACGTTGAACCCTTTGATCTTTCCAGTAGGCACAGTATCTTGGTAG